TATATTTTAGCTACTTGCAATAAAAAAAAGCTTTCGAAAGTCATCCTGCTATATTTTAGCTACTCTAACCAAAAGTTGGGACAAAACTCTAACCAATTTTAGCTACTTGCAATAAAAAAAGCTCCCAAAAGTCTTCCTGCTATATTTTAGCTGCTTAGTATAAAAAAAAGCTCCACAAAGTTATTCTGCTATATTTTAGCTACTCTAACCAAAAAGTTGGGACAAAACTCTAACCAAAAAATTAGGACAAAACTCTAACCAAAAAGTTAAGGCAAAACTCTAACCAAAAAGTTAGAACAAAACTTTAACCAATTAAATAAAAATTTTCTATAACTATATTATAAAACCAATATGACTCGTAAACAAAATTGAATATGTGAAAGCTGTGGGTATATATATTCAACACCACAAAAACTTTGTCAACATTATAATAGTAATAAAAATCTATGTTACCCCCAAGATTTACCAAATCAGAATCTAACTCCACTAGCTAATCCAGAAATAGAATTTCTCGAAGCATTGGAATTATTTGATTCTCCAGAAATTGCTGAGACTATTTTATCACCAGAAGCTGAAAGAGAATATCTTGAAGCATTAGAAATATTAAAACCTATTCTGCAATTTCATCAAAATGATATTATTAGCTCCGGATGTGAATTATTAAATGATTATTATCAAGTTGAGATAGGAAAAGAAAGTATATATGCACAAGACCCTATTAATACTCTTGGGGTGCTTCGAGAACAAATAATAAATATTTTTAATGATTGTTTTAATCTCACCCATGGCTTTAAAACTTGATTATGTCTTATAGGAAAAATGGATCGAACAACAAATTATCAAGAGGAGTTATTCGAAGATAGAAAATTTGCAGAAGAAGCTGATATGATGAAAAAGACTATAAAGAAGTTCCATTTAAAAACAAAGCAGTAGTAGTAACTGCTAAAGAGGATATCCCAAGAATTGTAGATGAACTTATTTGAGATTTTGAAAATTGAATAGAAGTATATATCCATGAAGGCTTAGGTTGGTATTTTGTAGAATCAGAAGAAGTAAATATTGAAATGCTAATCTTTGTTTTATTAGCTACTAGTTCTTATCTTCCATTACCTAAAGGAATACTAAAATGAAATAATGGAATTATTAATATTAAGAGTAAAGATAATTGATGCTTTGAACAATGTATTTTAGAAGATTTATATCTAGCTCCCTATCATCAAGAGCGATCTCAAAATCAAAAAACTTATTTAGAAGAGTTAAATTTCAGAGGGATTCAATTTCCAGTAAAAGCTGACAATGATATAATGGAAAAGTTCGAGAAGCAGAATCCAGATATATCTGTATCAATTTATAGATGGAGTGAAAAAGAACTTATTCCAAAGAGAATTGCATCTAAATCCAAAGTATATGATAGATACAATCATAAAAAAGAAAATTGTTAACCACGTAAGTTAATTTATCTTTTATTAATTACTGGAGATGATCCCAAAACAGGAGAACCAGCTCAACATTATTTTTTAATCCAAGGAAGAGATGGGTTAGGAAAATTAGCTGGATATACAACTAAGCACAAAGATAAGTTATATGTTTGTGATTATTATGTAAGCCACCAAACTCATAATTCTAAGATTGATGCTCAACACATAGAAGATTGTGAAGGGATTAATACTCCAGTACAAAGAACTGTAATACCCGAGGAAGATAAAAATATATATAAATTTAGATGACAAGAAAGAATGTTAGATATTCCTTTTGATTGTACAGCAGATGCAGAAACTCTTTCTATCCAAATTGAAAAGAATCAAGGATCGAAAACAATAGCGATCCAAGAGCATAAAGTTATAGGATTTGATTATATAATTAAATGTAGTGATGGCAAGACTAAAGTACCAGTAAAAATCAGAGGAGATGATCCTGCTGGAGAGTTTATTAAAGCAATGGAAAAAGAAACAGAGCAAATATGAGATTATCTTGCAGGAGGATATGTAATTCGAAAAAGTGCAAATGCTTTATGTAAATTATTAGAATCAAAAATCTTACCAGAAACATTAACCAAGAAATTTCTTGATATCTTTATTTCCTATTAATATTGGAATTTAAGTGTAAGGATAAGAAAGAATGATGAAGAAAATTTAATTAGAATTAAAAATGAATTAAAAGGCCTTTATCAAGCTCATAGAAGAGATCCTCTTGGAGTAGATATAGGAATAATGTACTGTCTTGCAAATACAATTTATTGCAGACTTCGATGGCCTGGAGAACCAATGAAAAAATTAACTACCCAAGAAGAAAAAATTCATAATTCAGCTAAAAAATGTTATATATATGAAAAGCCATTTGGAAAAGAAGATAATCTTAAAAAAGTTCAAGATCATGACCACATTACAGGAAACTATAGAGGACCAGCCCATAGTATTTGTAATTTTCAATTACGAATCAAACCGAAACAGTTTGAATTACCAATTCATTTCCATAATTTAGGTAAATTTGATGCCTATCTTATTTCTCAAGCTATAGGGTGAGTAAGTAAAGAAAAGATAAGCGCTATTCCCTATAATATGGAAAACTATCTAAGTCTCGATATTGAAAATCAAAGATATATGGATTCATTACAACTTATGCCTGGATCTCTTGATTCTCATATATCTAATTTAGGAGCTGAACTATATAAAGAAGAAGTAGATAAAGATGAAAATTCTTTAAACTTACTATATAAAAGTCTGTTCATCTTTATCGAATCGACTCTAATAGATACTTTGCCCATCTAGAGAGGTTTCCAATAACTAGAGAACATGGACCAAAAGGAAGAGATGATCTAGTATTTCATAAAGGTATTTTTCTATATGATTAGTTTAATATACCAGAAAAAATGGATGCAACTTCTTTACCTCCTATTGAGGAATTTAATAGTATTCTTAATAAATCGAAATGTAGCATAGAAGATTATAAAAGAGCACAAGAAATATGGAAAGCATTTAATATGAAATCATTTCGAGAGTATCATGACTTATACTTAAAACTTGATGTATTATTATTAGCAGATTGTTTAGAAGGATTTCGAAAATTAATGAAAGGTAAATTTGGTCTTGATATATCTCACTATGTATCTCTTCCTTCTTTTGCAGAAGATGCTTTATATAAAACTACAGGACAAGAGATTGAGCTATTTAATGATGATAATATGTACCTCTTCTGTGAGAAAGGTATTCGAGGAAGTATTTCAATAGTAAGTAATCGTCAAGTTAAAGCTAATAACCCACAATGTCCTGATTTTGTTCCAGAGTCAGAAGAAGCTATAAAAAAACTCTATACTTGGCTATTATATGTTGATGCCAATGCATTATATACTAGAGCAATGATGAAATCTATGCCAACAGGGGGACATAGATGGATAACACCAGAAGAAACTCCAGACCTTTTTAATAAAATTACCAAGTGCGAGATCTCTGATAATGCAAAAAAAGGCTATATTTTGGCAGTTGATTTTGACTATCCATATAAATTATACAAAGCTCATACTTCATATCCTTTAGCTCCTGAAAATATTAAGATTTCTAAAGAAGAAATGAGTATGTGTGGACAAAAGATTATTAATGATTTAAAACATTATTCAAAGACTAAGAACTCATTCCAAATCACAATAATAAGAAAAAGTATATAGTTCATTATCGAGCATTACAATTTTATATAAAGCAAGGAATGGAACTTACCAAAATTCACCAAGCTATAGAATTTAACTAAAGCCCATGGATGAAGTCTTTTATGGAAGAATTGGCAAGATCTCGTGCTTTAGCTAAAAATGATTTTGAGAAAAATATGTATAAGCTCCTTGGTAATGCAAACTATGGAAAAACTGTAGAGAATGTACACAAATATCAAAGAATAGATTTTGTTAGACCAGAAGAAGAATCAAAAAAGTTTAAAAAATTAGTAGCTAATCCCAGTTATAAGTTACATAGAATTTTAGCAAAAAATTTAGTAGGTATTTCTCGTCATCAATTAAAAGCTAGACTTAGTAAATCTATCTTTATTGGTATGTCTGTCCTTGATGAAAGTAGATTACTATATATAATTTCTATTATAATATTATAAAAAAATGATATGGAGATAATGTAGAAGTAGTATAATGATACTGATTCTCTTATATTACTTATTCAAACTGAGAATATTTATAAAGATATGGCAGAGATGCATAAATATTTTAATTTTAGTGATTATAAGCCAGAACATCCTATATACAAAGCTCTCAGAAAAAAAAGATTATTTTGAATAAAAAAGTTCCTGGTAAGTTTAAGGATGAAAGTTGTGATACTGCTATGTGAAAATTTTGTGGACCAAGACCTAAGCCCTATAGTTATATTCTTGCTAATGGGAAAACAGATTGAAGGGCTAAAGAGGTACAAAAGGTAGTAGTTAAAAAGAACCGTACTCATAATATGTATGAAGATTGTTTAAAATCTCGAAAAGAATATATAGTAACAATGCATAGATTAGGAAGTAAAGACTATATTATCAGACTTCTTCATTCATCTAAAGTTGGTATTAGCCCTTTAGATACTAAGAGATAGATTTTATTAGATGGA